ATGATTGTTTGCCAAGAGATTATGCGAATTACAGGTTGTTGTGAGGGATTTTTGGGCAATTGGTTTTTTTTTTTTTTTGTTATATGATTGTTTGCCAAGAGATTATCCAAATTGCAGGGATTTTTGAGCAATTGAGCTCAGTGAATCGAGCTGGGTTCGATGGAACATATTTGCTGGGTTCTGTTCTGTCGAACTTCAATCTTGAAAATGGAATGGGTTCTATTCTGTCGAACTTCAATCTTGAAAATGGAAAGAACACCGTTTATGAAAAGAATAGAAACAGTAACCGACGAGGAAAGAAACAATTCTTAGTGGTGATGTGGGACCCATTTGGATGGATTTGGTGCGTTTTCAGCTAGGTAACATGTGACATGGCAAAAGTTTTATACAAATCATCATCTTTTTAAGTTTTGCTCTCCACATCATTAAAAAAAATATATAAAAAATGCCACCTAAGCAGGGTTAATGGCTCAAACTAACAGAAGGACTAACGGAGTGCATTTCGTATAGTTGAGGGATAAAAAAAATGCAAAAAATTGTTGAGGGACCAAAAATGTGCAACTCACTAAAGTTGAGGGACCAAATGTAGAATTTAACCATATATATATATATACTTTTGCAAGAATTCTCCATATTTGCAAGGATACCTCATTCCTCATAGTGATAGAGATGAAGAGTATTTTTTGCCGACTCACCTGTTGCCATCCTTATGTAATGGTTATGCCACATTTAAAATTGTTAAAGTTCACATAATTTTTTGTATAATGTAATTGAATTTGGTCTAATTGTTAAAAATAATTAATAATTATAATTGTTAAATAATAGATGACAAAATTATTAATATTTGTTGTTTGTAGGTTAAAATTAAGGTAAAACCCTATTTTCAATTCTTAAACTTACCTTAAATTTTTATTAAATCCTTAAATATTTGTTAAAGTAAATAAGTTTATAAACATGCTGATATGGACAATTCAACTCTTATCCTTAATTATGGCATATTAACACTAGTTTGTGCTCTATTTGTATGAAAAAAAGTTAATACCTACCACATAAATAATGACATGTTAAGATCTTATTTATGCAAGTAATTAAGGTTCAAATGATCATTAAATCAATTGCTTTAATCTCCCAATTCAAAAGCTCATCTCTTTCAATAAAAATTTAAGAATTTAATAAAAAATTTAAGATAAATTTAAAATTTTAACATAACATTTTACCTAATTAATTATAAATAATAATACTTTTAAATACTTTAAGTACTTATATATATATAAAATAACAGTTTATCTTTAACTTTAATACTTTTCAAAGTGGCTATAACTACAAGGCCAAACTCCCTATTTGCACCTTTCATTTAATTCTTTTCTGTAGTCAACACCTTCTAAAATTTTTCCTTTCTATTCACACTCTTCACTTTTCAAAATTCATGAAAAACTCAATATTTTAACGGGCTATCACGGCACTGTTAAAAAATGCACTACGTGGCACTATGTAATGTTAATAATCCAACGTGGAACCCCTTTTTTATGATGTGACTTATTTTCTGCACACGTGGTCCCACATGTGCATAAACCTAAAACTCAAAAAAGATTTACAGAAACCTCGTTGTCTTTGTCTTCTCAGTCCTAAACCCCAATCCAAAACCCAAAACTAAATCTTCCTCAACAAATCATTCAAAATGCACAAATTAAGCTCATTCAAAGACTTGAATTTGCCAAAAGATAAACCATAATAGCTTAAAAGGTACCAACCACAAGGAAGAAAAGCGCGATTGTAAGATCTAGTAAAAATTATCCATATTTTTCACAAAATCGCAATTTTGACTTGTAGCAAACAAATAAAATTACAAACAGAAGCTAAGAATAAGGGAAGCAGGACATGGACACAGAATCTGAAATCGTAGAAGCCATATAATAGAGGTAGATCCATCATGGTCGATCATACCTTACCTCTTACGAGGGAGGAAAAAGGCGAGAAAGAGAAGAAGCCTAGGGAGCAAGACGGAACCCAACAATAGGGTTCCCTCGTGGAACCCAGCAACTGGGTTCCTCTGAGGAACCAAAAACTGGGTTCCCACGAGAAACCTAGCTCATGGAACCTAGATGAAGATGATGCTGAGAATGAGGAAGGTGATAAGGATAAGGATAAGAAGAAGATAGAAGAAATTAATTATGTTTTAATTCATTTAATTCCTTGGATTTTTTTTTAAGCATCCATGTGTGTGTAAAAAATTATGCTACATTATAAAAAAAAAGTATCCACGTTGGATTAATAACACCACAATGGATTAATAACACCACAATGTCATGTAATGTATTTTTTAACAGTGCTGTGACAATCGGTTAAAATATTAAAATTTTCATGAATTTTAAAAAGTAAAGAGTGTGAATAAAAAAATATTTTTTAAAAAATGTTAACCGTTAAAAAAATTTAAATGAAAGGTGCAAATAGGGTTTGGCCTAACCACAATTGCATTCGAGTTTCACATTTACCAGGTTGTAACGGATCTTCGTACAATTCGCATCTCGTCTAAAAAAAAAAAAGTTTCCATTCCATCATAAGGCTTGGACCAAATAAAAATAAAAATTGCTCTCGCCATATCTAGCCCATTAACTTTTATTTTGGGCTGTCACGGCTACTCCACTTCTTCAATCCAACAAGAAGGGAGCGGCCCAATGGCTGTGAGTTTTGTTTTTGTTTTTGTTTTTGTTTTTTGTTTTTTTTTTTTAATTAAAAATTCTTTCACGAAAATAAAAGATGATGACCCACTCTCTTAACTTCCATGGACAAGAAGTTCAATGAGATGTGAAAGGATGTCCATAATAATGAATGAAATTCCAGGCATTTTTATTTCAACAGCAATTTTAGAAAAATATTCTAACTCAAAATCTATCCGAATTTTGTGTTAAATAATTGCTCAAGCATATATGGAAAACATGGAAATCACATTTTTTTTTTCAAAAGCAGAAAACAAAATCTCAATCAACTGGGAAACTACATAATATGTTAATGGACACTGTCACATTGATAGAAGAAATAGTCTTATCAGTGACAGAAGAACACTAAGATTAAGCTGACTTTTGTGTTTAACATATTCACCTAAAAAAAGAATTAAGCTTCCCTCATAACCAAGCACTAAGATTAAACTGTTCCTTTGTTTCTAAATTTTTTTTTGTTAACAATTTCTGAAGAGTAATAAGTAATGGTAATAGACATTGTCACACTGACAGAAGAATGCTGACAGTGACAATGGGGGCAAGGTGCAATGCATCAAAATAGAAAGAAGAGCCATACTTATTGCCTTACAAATAAATGTTAAGTCTACACAAGTTTTGTGACTGTATTTAGTTTAATTGTTAAAAATAATTGATAACTGTAACTGTTAGTTGATAAAAGAATGAACATTTATTACTTAATAATTTGAAACTTGAAATCAATTTATAAATAGATGTATTCAAATATCTAAATTAATTATAAATTGATAAAATCAGACAAACTAAATTATTTTTTTTGTGACCATAACCGTGGCCAATAAAGGAGAGATAGTCTTATCTAAATAAATTGACCCATATACAAACCCTAAGTAGTGGTTAAAATCCATCTTGTCCCAAGCTGCTTGTCCTGTTATGCACTTGTACTTGTGCATGCCAAAATAATTTTGAGTATCAAAGGCCCATATGTCGAAGATTGCTGGACTCAAAAGGCCCATCGAATTAGTAAACAAGATTAAGCACCCATGTGAGCACACTGCCCACCGGTGATTTTGGGAGTGGCAAGTTTGG